TTATTTGCAGTCAAATACGCAAAAATGATTTCAATGATGTTCCCGCTAATGGTATTTTTTTCGGCAAAACTTATTTTGAAGGCATAACGAGGTACAGAAATGAAGCGCAAGAATAACAATTTGTTTTAGACTCTGAATTTGCCTCCTCCTCTCGGCTCTCTTTTTTTCTTACCTCGCATTTGCGATTGGAAGGTGTCAAAATCTTCTAGATAATATAACAAAAAGCCCAAAGGGCTTTTTGATTCAGCCCGATGAACAGGAGTTTACCAAAAATGCGCAAAATCATTTAGGCGTTTGCAGTAAGTCCTGATAATCGGGTTTCTGATGATTGGATCCCAAACGGGACTGGAATCGTTCAGGAAACAAGCTTAAGGCGGCAAACACAGCTTTGTCAGGTTTTTGAAATCCTAAATTTAGGACATAATTTTTTTTTTTCAAAAAGCATGCTCTACAGACTCAGTGGCGTTTTGCTGAAATCAAAACCCTGGGCAATCGACTGTCCTGAAATGATTCGTTTCAGCTTGTACTAATGGTTATTTTACGCATGTTTTTGCTCGAAAAGCTCTTCACAAAGCAGGAATTATGTGCTCTGGATGATCCGGTGCCAACCTTCCATTCTGTCGTAAGCCCAAAGAAACGATCTGGAAAGGGTGCGGCATTCCATTGGTTTTTCTGCGTATTAGTTTTTATCTCATTTTGTGCTAATCAGAGAAATTTTAAAAGATTCCCTCCATATTCACAGCCTCAGCTGACACGTAGAGCACTCGAAAATAGCTCAACTGGTAAATAAGTGTCGACAGCAACCACTCGCTAGCGAGGCTACGGATGATTTCCTTTCCCAAGGTTTGCTTGTAAGCAAGTTGATGGCGGGGCTTGACTTCCTGGTAAATACGCCAGTAAAATTTACCGTTGAAATAAATGGATAAATTTTGAAGGGATTGGATGTCTCATTGATGAAGCCGAACCTTCATATGAAGCTAAAAATTTTTAAAACAACCAAACTATCTTGATTACAACAGTTATCCTTCTTTTCGCATTTAATGAAAACATAAGTTCCCCTATAAAATCCTACTTCATTATAATCCTGCTCTTCTTTTCCAGTTCTCTCCCTTCTTCCTCCCACAAAAACAATGTTACTGTGAATCTTTTACTGCAGTTTTTCTGAACAGTTTTGTTAATTTTCATTTCATACATTCACCGGTTTACTGATAATCCTAAATTAAAGGTGACAAGCAAATTTTGGGTGAAGAATTGGAAAACTTGAAAGAGCTAGAAGACGGAAAGAGGAGCTCCAACAATGGACAACAGTAATTGTTTATCAATTGTTTTTTTATTACGAATTATTTGATCCCGAAAGTTTTTCAGAAATGCAATTCTTAAATACAACTTGTTTGAAGCAAACCAGTAAATTATAGCATGCTGGTGCATGTTTTTTGCCAACTAATGCACAGATTACATGAACAATTAGGTTTCTATGACGTTTTTTAGGACGTGATGGATGCATGCATCGAACACTGATTTATCGTGCGGCACCCATGTTGGAAAATGGACAGTTGTTTGTACGGCTTGAAATTTTTTGCTTGAAATGCCAGCAATTCTGCAGTTTATTTTCATCGAATAACTTAGTGGTAGCTTGTCCTAGCATGCTTGGGACTCAGACTACCTTAAATTCTTAAGATACTTTTGGAAAAAAAGAACTGTCGTTAGATCAGCCAGCCAGGTAACGGCACTTTCGAGAATCTCTGCGCAGAGCTTTTCCCGAAATCAAGTAACAAAGACATTTTTGGTTTTGTTCGGTTGACCATAAAAAGCCGAGAGTGGAAAAGCACAGAAAGGCTTTTTTAGGACCAAATGTTCCATTTCACTTCTTTATTTCTATCATATTCAAGTTTTCTTTCTGTCACACTAGTTTTGTGACAGACATTTATTGAAAAGTCAAAAGTCAGAACCCCTTCCGTGTTCGCTTTTTATGAGAAATAGAAGTATTTTGGAAGTAATGCCCAGTTTCCTAAATTACAGGGTACTCGGTCATTGGCAACTATTAGCACTTGTTACCGATACCTTATTTTCGAAATCGTTTGTATCCAGGTTTTTGATCAAAAGTACAACGATTGCTTAGGCTTAAAAAACAAGGCGTAGTCTTGGTTATGGTACTAGCTGCCAAACTTGACTTTTGACTTTCCGGAAAAGATTTAGTTTTTCCTATAATTCACGTTTTTTTTTTGCCTGATCATTCTTACTAGTTCTGACTTATTTTAAACGTTTTTATTCGCTCTGCCAATCTATGTAAATTACCATTTTGCTTTCCATTGTAAGGTATTGTTTGTCTGCAAAACATAAAATATCCAATAAGATAGAATTTAGTTTTGCACAGCTCTTATGTCTATGTTAGAATTAGGTTTTTTTTTTTTAAATTCTTTCTTTAAGACGCGGCGAATATGTAATCTGAGTATCAGTACTTATCAGTAGAATTATCTGCTAAAAAATTGTTGATAACTTGCTGTTTATCACGGTATCAGTTTTGCCAAAAGGTGATAATGCTCACTGAATTTGTGGGGTGGGAAAAAAGGGAAGAAACAGCGAAGTATGAATGAAGTTTTGCTTTGTTTTTAATCTGGCAGTTGAGTTAATAAAATTTTGCTGAGACTCGATATCTTCCTGGAACACAAAACTTTAAAAAGAGCGATGACAGGAGAAGGCAGAACGATGGGGAGGGAAGGGACCAGAGGCGGGTGTTTTACAAGCCCTGAAATTTCTCTCATTCTAAACTCAGAAGTGTTCCTTCCACATTTTAACGTATTCTTGCTTAGTTATTTGAATAGGTAAATGTGTAAAGTTACTTTTTTTGTATAACTTTCATTCCAGTGCGTGTGTATTATGTTCGTAGTTGCCTTATTTTCTTTATGGACATTCCCACTTAAATATTTTTTTTTCTATTTTAGTTTTTTTCCTCTCGAAGTATTTGTTCTGATGGTAAATTGGTACTGGTGCATGCCGTGAAATCAAAATACCTCTAACTGGCTTCTGGGCAAAGCATACTAGGTATTTGCTGCTAACTTTTATTGCAATTGGTTACCTTAATTCCCTCAGTCTTTTCACTATGAAGTGTCAAAAGGGTTTTAACTTTTTCTGTTAAAATTGCGCTGAATTTGATATAATTTTCCATTATTTTGCCTGTACCCCGACAATCCCGATCGAAAAAATGCGAAATATCTGAGGTGCTTAATGTGAACTAATCCGAATCGCAGAGGACTTAGGAGGGAATCCTTCTGAATCGAGTTTCTAGGGTTGCAGGTGCATTATTTTGCAAGAAATTTTGGAACTGTTGCTTCGGGAGCTAATCTGAAACCTTCATTGTTATCGAGAAGTAATCATGCGCTGAATTCAGTCGCTCGAGTCCTCCCAGAATTGCCTGACGCATTTGTAGGATTTTCTTGGAATTGGGCTAGCAGCTGATTTTTGTCATCCAAGACAAATTTGATGGAGGGCTTTTTCTAGTATTGCTTTGGGCGTCTGGATCCCTTCCGCATCGACCGGACCGGCATCATTGCTCTGTTGTAAATTGAGGGTGAATATTGGATAAAGGTGCTAATCTACCGTACTAAGGGCGAGTTAGGATTAATTTTCTAGCAAAAAACCAAATGAATCAAAAATCTTCGCCAGTTGGTTCATTCACTCTGACCTTTTGGATCTAATTCAAAACATAGTAGATTCTTCGGGACTCTGGAAAAACTTGAAATCCTGAAAGGTTTTATCAGTGTACCAACAACACAAATCCGAATACTAATACATTATTTAGTACGGATTCATCGCATATAAGAATATGGGAAGTGTCAAAGTTAAGGGACCAAATGAATAACTAGAAATACACAAGCAAATACTTCAGGAGGAGCCATTGTGATAATAAACTTTTTTGTCACTTAACACTTATTGTATTCCGTGTCAGCATACTGTGATACATTGTACAGTGAAGTGCCTTTTTATTCTTACAATGAATAGTGAAGTTGCCTTTGTGATTTTCGTAGTAAGGTTGTGAAATAAATATTTGTTTGTTAATGACAAGGGATGAAAGACAGACTGCAAACTTATCTGATCCTTTTAAATACGTAATTTTCAAACAATTTTGCTAGGTGTTTCAGCCATCGATAAAAGGGTAATTTATCGCAGTGAAGCTTCTGTCGTACATCCAAAAAAAAGTGGAATTCCAAAAAAAACAAATTCAAAAAAAGTAATTTTCAACTGTGGAATAGTATGCTGTCATCTCAAAATTAATGACTTAGATTCAAGGTGTAACTCAGGAAACAATGAGTGATGCACGAAATATTGTTGCACAGAGCAAGAAAGTTCCGACGGATGGGACATGTTGTTCGTCTTACTGATGTAACCGGTAAATGTCGAGTGTCAGTAAATGGTACTCTCCAGAACGAAAATGACCACTCAAGCAGCCTTCAGAGAAGTAGTGCACATGTGTCGAACAGGTAATGGCTACAAACTGATGGCTCTGGCTTAGAATAGAGAGTCTGGCATAGTTAAAACAGGTGCACGAATATATTTTACTGGCTGCTTTCCTGTACAGGGAGTTTTGGTAATTTTGACATGGAGTAATTTGAAAGGAAAATGATGAAGACGGAGGTCGAAGAGGATTCGAGGTCAAGGAAAGGTAATGGGAAGGAGGAGGACAAGAGAAGGAGTTGAGTCGTCAGTGGTAATGGAGGCCGTTTTTCACACAAGCCTTCCTGCTAAGTGGTTAGATTTTGTTTGCTTTGCAAGAAGAGAGGTAACCCGAGCTCCCAGTGCATCCCACATTTCCTGGTCAGTAAAACTCCCATTCTTAGCGGCTTCTTGAAAGCTTCAGTGCTTTTGGCTTATTAAGCCCATTTGGTAGTCTGATGCTTATATGAACACGAAGAGACGCTTCAAGCGTTCTTTCCTCTGAACCGTTCTCTCTTATAAGATGCTTAATCGAATTTGCAACTAAATTTAAGGCTTATTGCAGAATAATGACACGAAAGCTATGTTTAATTGTGGTACTAGCTGCTGCTTTTGCATGTCGCTGCTTTGGACTCGAATTTCAGTGCCGCGACAACGAAAATCGGATTGTCGATTGGTATTAGCTACTTTTGGATTTATCCGAGATGAAATATTCAAATTAAATATTCATCATGGAGATTTATTAAATCTTTTGACTTTTTTTATTCCCATAATTTTATTGAGTTGTTCTTAGCTTATTTTCAGAAATCTTTTTTACCTGTTAATCTCACCTTGTTTTCCTTCCAATGAAAAACACACTTTATTATTTCTTTAACTACATCATAATGCAGTCGGGCTTCATAGATACAACCTCTCCAATTATCTTGAATTTCTTAGTATCATTCATACAACTCACTGTAGAGATATACAACGTCCCTTCCATCTCATTAATAGACTTCTCAGCTAAACACTGGCTTTTTCAGAACTTACTTCCTATATTCTTTTAATTTTTTCAGAGCATAGTTAGGTTATTGATAATTGCAGGTTTATATTTTATAAAATTGGACGTATCCAAGAATCGAATAACGAACTAATCCGCAACGGTTCCGGGTTTTTTTATATGGATTCCAATTCTCGAAAATGGGAACTTCCGGAACTGGGAATTGATAATCCGAAACAATCAGTTGGCCACACTTTGCATCAGTATTATGAAGTCAAAAACAATCCAGAGGTTGATTTTCCCTAAGAAAAGTGGATTTTTATGTGATAGTCGTCATATCATCAGTAAACATGTTATGTTGAAGTGTTATGTAATGAGAGAATGGGAATCCAACAAAAGCGCAGATAACGTGTTTGGAGAGTTGGCACTTCTGTTTTGCCTCCGTCCTCAAAAAAACTTAACCTATCTTGCGTGGTCCCTTAAAAAAGCGTGAAATTTGGGACAGTTTTGAAGATTTTGACTTCAAGTACGTTGGATAAAGAAGTAATTGTTAATGTATTTTTGCAAAAAAGGGAAAACTGTTAAAATGTGTTCAGACCATCAAATTTTCCGAAACTGGTTTATTTTTCTGGCGGCAGCAATTACCACTAGCGTGGTGCTGAATGTTGAGGCTTGAATCCGTTAGTGCAATAGCCAGTGCTATCCACGACGCACTCATTCGTTTCGATGTTAAATTGGTATTTGTCAAAGATTTGAAACCGCCATCTGTGCTTTTAAGCTTTCCTCCCAGTAAGAAATCAATACAGTCTTGATTGCGGTTAATTACTCTATCACTTGAGTTAGTCCCTGGTGATTTTGTTTTTTATTTGAAGTGAATTATAAAAATGATTCGAGTCTGACTCAGGTCTTTTCAGAAGAATTTCTGTATATGCCTAAATCAGGAACAATAAGCTCGAGACTTGTGGTATCTCATGACCCTCAAAGCCTGTAGTTACTAG